AGCGCTTGACTTCACTTGAGGACAATGCCGAGTCACTTCATGTGCGTTTGGAAGAAGTTGAGAAATGCTGCGAGGGGCTCAGATCCGATAATGGTCAACTCAAGGCTAAGCTAACTGAGCTGGAGGGGAGAAGCAGGAGGAGTAACGTTCGTCTTATTGGCCTGCCCGAGGACATCGAAGGACCACAACCAAGCAAGTTCTTTTCCCAGTTACTGTGGAATGTTTTCGGACATGATATCTTCCCCTCGGCGCCGGAGCTGGACCGGGCCCATCGCAGCCTGATACCCAAACCGGGCCCTACAGGCAGGCCTCGGCCTGTCATAATTTGCTTCCACCGATATCAACACAAGGAGCTGGCGATTCGTGAAGCCCGGAAAAGAAGGAACTTGGAGTATGAAAACAACTCATTCAGGATGTATGATGACTACTCTCCAGATGTGGCCAAACAAAGGAAAGAATACAGGTCGGTGATGTCATCCTTGTATAAACTGGGTCTAAAACCAGCGCTGATGTTCCCAGCAAGACTTTGGATTACTAACACAGACGGTACCCGCACAACATTTGGCTCCGTGTCTGATGCTGAAAAGTTCATCCAAACTTTTAACAGTTCTGCCTGACTGATGGCTCTGGAGGTGCAGAGCTACAGAACGGATTCAGATAATGTATAAACGTTTAATTATTGAGGTTGTTGCAACTGGTCTATTTTCACCTCAGTAAGTAATAGACATTATTTTTGTTATGGGCTGTTCGGTGTTTGCCCAATTTTTTTCATTTTTCTATTTTTTTTTATTAATGACAAGATTTTACTTTGGCTTGGTGGTTTTATTTGTGTTTAATATTACCTGTAAGGCGAGGAGGGGGAGAAGATTTATTTAGGTAGTAGTAGCATAGAGGTGTTACATTTAGAGAAGTTAGGTGTGGTGTTTGTTCTAGCAGCTATTTTACCAGGGGGTTATTGGGAAGGGGTGGGGTGGGAAGTGGGGGGCTTACTGTCACTGTTAAAATGATGTTTTTCTTTTCGCTCAGCCAGGATGTATTTCTTTATTTGCCTGATACCTTGACATTCTCTGTTCTGTTTTTTCTTTTTTATTATGAGTAATATGGCAGGCAACTTTAAAATGATTACCTGGAATGTTAAGGGTCTGAATCATCCCATTAAAAGGAAAAAGGCCCTCACACATATGAAAAATTTAGGTGCAGGAATTATGTTCCTTCAAGAAACTCATCTCAATAACCGAGATAGTATTCGTTTAAAGTGTGGGTGGGTGGGGCAGCTTTTTCATTCAACTTTTCAGGGTAAAGCCAGAGGAGTTGCAATACTTATTAATAAAAATATATCATTTACACCTGCAGTGGTGGTTGCTGATCCTAATGGAAGATATATTATTGTAACTGGAAAACTTTATAATGTGAATGTGACATTAGCTAATGTTTATGCTCCAAATTTTGATGATCCTCAATTTTTTTCTCGTCTCTTTAGGCTGCTCCCGAATTTAGATACTCATCCGCTGATTATGGGAGGGGATTTCAACTTATGTCTTGACCCTGTGCTGGACAGGTCTTCGGTTAAGCCGGGCTATATTGTATCCAAATCGGTAACGTATATAAAGTCCTTTCTTTCAGATTATGGTATATCAGATCTTTGGCGTCTTTTGCACCCTCAGGACAGACAATACTCTTTTTTTTCCCACGCCCATGGGAGCTACAGCAGGATTGATTATTTCTTTATTGATAATAAACTAACATCATACGTGCAGAACTGTGAATATCAACCCATAGTGGTGTCTGACCATGCTCCTCTCTCAATTGAATTTAAGATACCTGAAGTAGGGGCCCAAAGAAAGTACTGGCGGTTCAACTCCCTCCTGTTGTCTGATGAGAACTTTGTTAAATTTATGTCGAACCAGATCTCCCTTTTTTTAGAAATTAATATGACCCCAGATGTTTCAATTTCTACTGTCTGGGAAGCCTTTAAGGCATATTTAAGAGGTCAGATAATATCCTTTGTGGCTAAGAAGAAAAGGGACTCTATGTCCAAGCAAATCGAACTCGAGAGTCAAATCGCAGACTTGGACATCAGAAATGCACAAGCTCCATCCCAACAGTTGTATAAAGAACGCTGTAGGCTCCGTGCAGAACATAATTTAATTACATCTCAACCAATAGAATATTTACTGCTGAAAAATAGAAGTTATTCATATGAACATAGTGATAAAGCTGGGGAGGTTCTGGCAAGACAACTTAGGGGAGCAAGAGCCAAAATGACAATTGGTGGGATAACAGCTCAGGATGGCAGCATTATCACAGACCAGCAAGGAATAAATAAGGCCTTTCAATGTTATTATAATAAATTATATAGCTCTGATAACAGCTGTAATACTAATCTTTTGCAGAACTTTTTTGGACACTTGCCTATCCCCAACCTAAGCCCTGATCAAGTATCCTCTCTGGATTCACCTATTTCAGAGCAGGAGATTGTAGGGACAATCAAATTATTACAACCCAAAAAATCACCTGGTCCAGATGGCCTGCCAAATGAGTTTTATGCAG